ATTAACGATCAAACTTGGCATAGCCTTTGTAACGGCATACTAACTCTTAAATTTCCTGTTACCATGGCAACGATGGGACATCTCAAAACTGATTTCGATAGTGCTGCATCTTCTCAATAATAATAATAATAATAATAATAATAATAATAATAATAATAATAATAATAATAATAATAATAATAATAAACATTTTATTTCATGAAGGTAACATGTAAAGAAATATCAATTAATGGATTGAAAAAAATCAAAGGCCTTTCAACGTTGGTTACACATTACCTAAGAACGACCTCAGACCATTTTTAGCCTCTTACAAGTAAAAAATTTTCTTGATGGAGCGATGCCGAAAAATGTGATCTCTTTTTATAGAAAACAAGTGTTTAAGGCCGAAATATAGTATTTTTTCACTGAAATGGGATGAAAAAGGGCTGAAAACAACGCGTGTATATGAGTTAATTGGTTAACTAGATAAATCTTCATGATTTTGTAGTATCAATTGTTTGTGTTTCAGCCTCAAATATACGCTCCCTTCACAGCTCACTGAATACACTCACGTTAGTAAGAAGTGAGCGATAGTGAAACATTCGACCGATGCGCAGGAGAGTACCTCAAATAGTATAGCTTGTTATTGGTTAGTTACAGAAATAACAGTAATTTTGTGTTGTATATTGCACATTTGTTTTATCTTATACTGTAATGCGCATGTCATTATCTTCCCGCCACTCATATATACATAGAACAATCAGTGGTCATAAAACGAAATAATCAGTATGATAATGAAGATATCAGAATGATAATGGTGATATCAGAATGATAATATATAAGTCAGATAATGAGGATATCAGAATGTTAATGAAGATATCAGAATGACAATGAAGATATCAGAATGATAATGAAGATATCAGAATGATAATGGAGATATCAGAATGATAATATGGGCGCCGTCATGACAAAATGACCCTTCGGGCAATTTTCTTCGATTTTTTGGTGTCATAATTTTCATAGAAACCAATTATTACAGATGATTTTACTTTTTATTTGACGAAAATAACTTGAAAAATGACAAAGATATATCTTTTTAGGTACATAGACCAATGTGTTGCTCCGACGTTGACGACGACGTTTGTTTAAACGTTGAACGTTTTAAAGAACGTCGTGGTTTATTGCCGAATTGTCTTGTGTTAAGAATGGATTGTGTAAGAACCAATAAAGACAGTAACTCCAAATGAATTCATTTTACAGAACTATGAAGTTACAAACTTCAAAATCATAAAAATAAAACGATAACAGAAGAAATCACATAAACGGATCAGCACTTATGTACCAAGTATATTGGTTAATTTACGATTAACAAAATTTTATAACTTGAAATATATAGATCATTCTTATATCAAATAAATATCTAGTTTATTGATAACAAATCTAAGGACTAAACATACAGACAAAGATAATTAATGCATGTATACATTTGTACATGTAAATCTAAATTGTCATTCTTCCCGTAACGGTGGGCACGTCACATCACGATACGCCTGACGTACAAAAGGTCGTACATTTTTGTACAGGTATTGCTGCCTTGCGCGGGAAAGTCCACCCGGTAGCAAAACTGCAGGGAGAATATCTTCTGGTACTGTAGCATTTCTCTTTAGGATTGTGACCTGCTGCTCTACGTCAGTTGAGCGCTCTTTCACGTATACAGCATCCTTCGTAACACGGAAATAGTGATACCGCTGTTTACCCCTTAATGGTAAAAAGAAGCGCGGCAAAAATGTCTTCCAGTCATACCTGTTACATATGTTGACTAGTTAATATTATGTCAATCATAAACTACTTGATAATTTACAATGACAAGCAATTATTAATACACGTACAAGTAATATGACAGCATATATGCCGAGCGCCGAATTGAGCTCTCTATTAATTTGTTTAGTTGTTTTATTGTACAAACTTATTTAAATGGGGTGTAAATTTTAGAAATTCAAATATTTGTAAAAGAATACCAAGTCCAATTCTGACATCCATCCTCCTTGCGGAAGAGCACGGGGAAATTGCTTGAAGCAGACTTTCTCACGACAGATGCCACCTGCGAAATACTGTCGCAGTCCGTGCCCCTATACAGCTTCTTGATATGTCCAAATCCTCCGTCCACAAGACACCTATTATATTAAAATCGAATAAAACTATATCAAAAACTGCTTATTTATAGTTTATGTTGTTTTCTTTTCTTTATTTCTATAGGAACAAAATAATTGCAAGTAGATTTGTTCTAGTATAATCGATTTGTTCGACAGTGTTTTAGTTTTAAGCTAATGGCCAGATTGTCTCTATGGCATGTATAAAACATACCCGCTGGTGTGCAAGCACATACATGTTTAAGCACATAAAAATAGCAAATGCTCGTTTTGTGCAGACCAGAAGTAATGTAGAGGACTGTCATAAACTAAAATACATAAGTTTGCATTATAAGAGTATAAAATATAACATATATTAAAAACATTAATTACTTTGTGTGACCAGGAATTCCCATCAGGAGTGTTATCTCATCATGGAGCCCCATATGAATTCGCCATGCCAGATACGCTAACATAAAGCGATTTTTATTCTGCGCTGTAATAAAAATATATTCACCATTTGAACTAAAACTTAAAAATTAAATCGATGCTTTGTACAATGTCGCACTCTGAATATATAAGTGAATGTTCAATACTATACTCATGTTTAATTGAAAACACATATACGGTAAAATACTCACAGCCACAGTTGTCGGCGTGCATGATGCAAGCTTTCTCTCCAAATCCCTGGTTTTCGAGGCAGTGGTGTAGCATACTTATAACTGAGTTTGGCCCGTGCGTCCCTGTACCATCAACACCTGTTAATTTACATTAATTTTAAGTATATTTAATATTTCGACGGCACACATTTAGAATATTTTATCGATTATCTTTTTATATGAAATAAATATTTTACAATTCTGAAAAGCAAAATATCTTCAATATTATTGAAAAAAAAAAGCAAAATGTATTTAGTTATTTTTATGTATTTATTAATTACATGTAATTTATTTATTCATTCATTCATTCATTCATTCATTCATTCATTCATTTATTTATTTATTTATTTATTTATTTATTCTTAACATACCAATCGATTCATCCTCGTCTATTAGGTAATTATGTTGTTGTGACACACTCTTCATATAATTCGTCCTCTGTTACATGTGGCGCCTACTCTTATGTCTCATTAACTACGCCAAATTCCTCATATAACTCATCTAATTCCTGCGTTTAAATAAAGTCAATAAATAAATTTTAATAATCTAAAGATATTGTATGATCGATTCAGGTTATACCAGTTAAAATATGGGACAAAATAAAAGACAATATATTTTTTCCCAGTTATAATAAATCAGTTAAATAAGTAAATCAGGTAATGTATTTTACCTATAAAAAAACACTTTCTCAACAAAACATCTATGACATAAAAAAAAAATATAGCACGAGATTTTGAACCTCGGACCGCCCAATCGGTAGCCTTTCACTCTACCAGTTTCACCACAGAGGCATAAGTACATGTGTTAGGTTTATTATTCTATAATACAGTAAATCGATCGATATCATGGACGACTACTCTTGCACTGTAACTATGTTATGAAGGGAGACAATTCCTTTTGTATATACTGTTGCTAAGAAGTTTAACCACTGAAAACCAGGATTATTCGATAAAATTCATAGCTAAAACTTACAATTCAAATACTTTGTTCTATATATTACATGCAGGATACAAACTGACAAGTCAAAAACATGATTTCACCAGAGATAAACTCATTTTTTTAACTGAAGCGCTCTAATCATCTGTCAAATTTGACAGCAGACGCAACTTCCTAAAAAATAAAAATTCTAGTTTTGCACATTAAAACTTTGTATTTCTTTTTAAAAAAAAGACATAAAAAGATACAAAAATACCTGAAAATCATTCTTCTCTGACATTGTGTCTAAATTTCGTCTACAAATGGTGAAAATTCATGATCTAGCGACAACAACGTGCTTGAAAGGCCGACATAAACTGCGAACAATTTCGCGGACTTTTAACCGGTGTTTGAAAAACTTGTCCGAAGGTACAAAATGTCATGACGGCGCCCATATATAAGTAAGATAATGAGGATATCAGAATGATAATGAAGATATCAGAATGATAATGAAGATATCAGAATGACAATGAAGATATAATAATGATAATGAAGATATCAGAATGATAATGAAGATATCAGAATGATAATGAAGATATCGGAATGATAATGAAGATATCAGAATGACAATGAAGATACCAGAATGATAATGAAGATATCGGAATGATAATGAAGATATCAGAATGACAATGAAGATACCAGAATGATAATGAAGATATCAGAATGATAATGAAGATATCAGTATGATAATGAAGATATCAGAATGATAATATATCAATAAGATAATGAAGATATCACAATGATAATGAATATATCAGTATGATAATGAAGGTATCAGAATGATAATGAATTAACAGAATGATAATGAATATATCAGAATGATAATATATCAGTAAGATAATGAGGATATCAAAATGATAATGAAGATATCAGAATGATAATGAAGATATCAGAATGATAATGAAGATATCAGAATGATAATATATCAATAAGATAATGATATTAGAATGAAAATGAAGATCTAGATAATAATGAAAATCTCAGAATGATGATATAAGAATGATTATAAACATACCAGAATGACAATGAAGATTATAGAATGATAATGAAGATATTTCATTGTCATTCCAATATCTTTATTGTCATTCTGATATCTTCATTATTATTCTGATATCTTCATTATTATACTGATATGTACATTATCATTATTATACATAATTATCAATATCATTCTGAAATCATTATCATCATACATGTGTTTCTACATAAAAATTCATCAGCAGATCCTTCACAAAACTATTACTTTAGAAATTAGTACCTGCTATTACCCGTTTGGTAGTTTTGCACGGGGGGGGGGGGGTAGTCTAGTACTGGTGTAACTCTCCAGGAACGATGGTTAGGAAACTACCCGCCTATATGACTGAAATACTGTTGGGAAAAAGCGTAAAATGAAACAAACAAACAAAACCTGTTATGACCCATTTGACTCCGTGGAGCATTTGTTTTAATGAACACAAACAATTTACAACATAAAATTAAGAATAGGAAAATAATTACAGCTGCAATTATATGATATCATTTGCCAGACCATGCAGGGTTAAATGACCCGAGGTCGGTTTCAGAAAATTTAAAGATATAATAGACTCGATCATCTTTGGGCAAAATACTTTTAATTCTACCTAAGGTTTATGTCGTATTTTATTACTTCACAACAGCAGGTATCAAGTGCTGTGTGGCAGTTGTAAAAAGTTGCCTTGTTCTTCAATTCCGTGTTGTTATATTTTTCTGGTCCTTCGGGATCATTGATACCAGCACTATTAAGTGTTTTGAATCGATTACCGCTTAAGCCGGTGCTAGGGGGCGTGAGGAATGTTGCACTTTTTCAGTATCCCTCATTTACAGACTCAATCAAACCGAGTCTGCAATTCTTATGTAATTTTTGTTGTGATTAATGCTTCCAAGGGATCACTTTCTTTCCGTGTTTTTTAACAAGAGAATGTTCAAATTGTGTTTCGGGAGCTACATTTCTTATAACAGGTTAAGTCGATGTAGGCATTTCCTTAAAAATAACGCCATTTTTAATAGATCACAAGACGACTTTCCAGCTCTATTGATTGAGGAAGACCTCAGGTGCCCCTTTGTCCTTTAATACAGGTATAGTAATTAGAGCAAAGATGTAACCATGGATGGTAATGAACGTAACCTTGTAAAATGTTACACCCATTCATGTGATCACTTTATAAGAAAACAGAAAAACTTGTTTTTAAGCCGCCGCATTTTCAAAATAATAATTTATATGTATGGCTACCTGATTTATGATCAAATGGAATTCATCACAAAGTCAATGTCTCATTCCTAGTACAGTACATTATTGATGTACTGGCAGCTTAGTCTTTGCTGTATATGGAAATAGTCGGAAATAATTTTTAACAAGTTTTATACCCCCAACTTGTTCTGTAAGAGAGGGAAAAACAAATGATTCACAAATCAATTTTGTACAATCTTTTATTAAGAAAAGTCACACATTCATGCTGTCAAAACCAATCAAACAAACATGTTATTTTTTTAAAGTACTACATTAATAACAAAAAAAAAGTATAATAGCAATGCTGTCTATGAAGCTTCCATGATAAGATCATATACTGAATATTGTTTTCAATGAACACTTCAAGTTTTAAACAGTCATGTTTTATATATATGTATATGTATAATTGACATATTACAGCATGAACTTATCTTAACTTCATATAGAATTGTTTAAGCATAAACATGGCCAAAATATATGTGTTATCAAGTGCATGTAATTTAAGGTTTACAAATGTACTAGATGGATTTAATCATACAATATTCATTAAACAGACATAGTTAATATATAAAATGTATAATTGACATAAAATATTACAGCATGAACTTATCTTAACTTCATATAGAATTGTTTATGCATAAATATGGCCAATATAGATTTGTTATTAGTACATGTAAATTGTATGTTTACAAATATACTAGAATTATAAAATCTATATTCCAAGTCACAAACAAACATGTTTGATGCATATGTTCACAAGACATAACATATCTAAGCATGAAATAAAGATAAACATTCATATATCTAGTTAACAATTAATAATTTTTATTATAAAGGTCAGTCAATTGAAATAGTTAAAAAGTTTACATATCTAGGCATTGTTTTTTCTGTTGGTGGATCTTTTAATATGACTTTTGAAACACTCTCTGGACAAGCATTGAAGGCGTTATATAAACTTGAAAAAGAGCTGATAAGATTCCCTTGTATGTCAGTTAAACATAAACTGGATTTATTTGATAAACTTATTTTACCAATTCTTAACTATGGATCACAAATATGGGGTTTACTTGATAGTCATGTATTAGAAAACATTCATTTAAAGTATTGTAAGAAGTTGTTAGGAGTTAAAAGACAAACACAAAACAATTTTATCTATGGTGAACTTGGAAGGACATCTTTAAAAAACAATGAGAGCTATTAATGTTATAAAATACTGGTTAAAAGTTGTTCAGTTAAGTAGTACAAAATATGTCAAAGTTGTATATGATCTTATGTGTAGAGATTTAGAACTTAAACCGAATTCAAAGTCCTGGGCTAAGTCTGTTATGATTTTGTTACAATCTTTAGGTTTCAATGAAGTATGGATTAATCAGGGCGTTGGTGATATAAATATATTTTTAGCAGTAGTAAACAAAGATTAACAGATACATTTATACAAAATTGGTATGCAACTTTAAGAGATTCATCCAGAGCAAGAAGTTATGTATTATTTTGTGATTTTGGTTTAAATCGTATTTGCCAATGGTTAATATTGAAAAATTTAGGAAATCTTTATCATGTTTCAGGACTTCTTCGCATAGATTAAAAGTAGAAACTGGTAGATGGCATAAACCTGAAGCAATTCCTTATAATGAAAGAAAATGTAATATTTGCTTAAAACTAGAGATGAATTTCATGTATTATTAGAATGTCCACGGTACAATGTTTTGAGAAAACAGCTCATAGATAAATATTTTTAGAAAAAAACAAATAAACAAAAATTTATTGAATTGTTAACATCTCAAAATGAAAATATTATTAGAAAATTATCAATGTTTATCTTTAAAATGTTTGAACTAAGAACAAATGTTTAATATTCGTAAATTATAGTAGCTAGGAAGGTTAATATAATGTTACTTAATTGATATCATTATGTAAAACCTGTACTTCATTTAAACATTGCTGTAATATGTTATTCTGTTCATATTAAAGCAAACTTATGACTCAAATATACAGTAAATGCTAAATATATGTTATATATGTTTAATGACCTTGATATTATGTTTATGTATGTATGTATGTTTGTATATATGCTGTGTGCTCATGGGTATAATACCCACATGTATTTGGAATAAAATCTTGAAATCTTGAATTAATAACATCTTCATGTAATTATATGTTTACTTATATACCAGATGAATTTACTCTACATATACATTTAAAGTTT